TAAAATTATAGTTTAATAAGAAAGAGAAACTTTGGGATTTATCGTGAATTTAAGTTGAATATTATACGTACATCTCTGCTGTGTTGAATAATTTATAGTTTCAGTTTTTTGAGCATTTCAACCTCTCTCTCTCTACCTTCATCTCCTCTCATCTCCTTTCGTTGTCGCCGCCACTTCACTACCGTCGGTTTCCTTTTGCAGTAGCAGACTAGCCATCGAAATTCTTTCATCCTTTCTCTCTCTCTCTCTCTTCTCCGATTTGAGACCCAAATCCTAGCCCCAACTTCACTATCCTCAATCGTGCTCTCTCTCTCTCTCTCTCTCTCTCTCTCTCTCTTAATCTTTTCTTTGCTCTCTCTCTTCTTTCCACCAGGTTTGACGAACCAAATCTAAGGTGGAGAAAGGCGACGACAGAGATCGACGAAGGAGTCGATGGAGAAGCGACACTGTGAGGAGGATGACAGTTGTGAGGGCCATGGTGGCTCAAGCGAGCTTGTCGGCGGCGTCGGAGAAAGAGGAGTCGAGGAGTTGATCTGGGACTGTAATGAGCACTTTGATATTAGTATTTTAATGGAGTCGACGGTCAATACGCAGTAGTGTCGTTGTCGCTTACAGTGGCGATGGTGGCAGTGCTTCGACGAGCTTGGTTTCACCATCGTCGGACCTTTCACTGATTTTCTCGTATAAACTTTTCTCTCATCTCATCTCTGCTTCTCTCTTGGACCTTAACCTCATCTATTTCCTTCAATACTAATCTGAGCCCTCCAACACAGGTATGAAACTCTCTCTCTCTCTCTCTCTCTGTCTCTGCAAAACCTTTTTCTCCACCCTAAAACCCTCATTTGGTTGCTCTGATTATACTAATTTAGTTGCTTTGGTGTTACTTTGAAATCGATTGTGATCCATTCAAGATCATGTTGTTCTTTAGATCTAAGCGCGTGTGGGTCAGATCTATGTCTCCGTCATTTAGATCAGCAAGATCATGTCGTTGATGAAATTTTTGATATTAGGGTTTATTAGCAAGATCATGTTGTTGTTGTTGTTATTAAGGTTTATTAGCAAGATGATGATGTTGTTGTTGTGGTCGTAGTCTTGGTGGTAGCGGTGGTGGTGGTAGTGGATATGGGGAGCAAAGGATTGCAACAAATAGTGGATTCATGGACAGATATTTTTAACAGATAAGAAAAAAAAATTGAACATATAAATTTTTTAAATAGTGGATTTGATAAGAAATAGACAAATAAGAATTTCAAGGGATCACTCTCTAAATTTCAACAAATAGCTTTGTATTTCAACCCAAAAAAAGTTTGGTTGAATAGATAATCTTCACTGTCTCCTCTCTCTAATTTACACAAATAAAAAAATTTAAAACATATATATTAAAATAATTTCAACAGATATAAAAAAATGAACAGATAATAAAATCTGGATAGGTATTTGAACAGATAAGGGGAAAAAGTTGAACAGATAGTCAACAATTTGAACAAATAGATATAAATTTGAATAGATAGATATAAATTTGAACAGATAGTCAACGAAAAGTCAACAGATAAAGAAATGGGTAAAATTGAAAACAAAATTTCCTCCCAAATCAATTAAAGGATTTCTCACCAAATTATTTCACAAATGGTGAACCTTTCACTAACAAAAAAATATCTAATAAATCTAATATCTTATACCCTCCTTATTTTGGACTTTTCAATAATTTTCTCTTTCTAGTTTACCCTTGTGTCTTTAGGTGATTGTCAGCAACTCAAGTTCTTCTTAATTTTCCTTCTTAAGCAAACACGATGTTAGGAACTCTTGCCCTCGTAGTTTTTTATTAGCTCCCCAGTCTCTTTCTTGAAATGTTATCGGTTAATAATGAATGTTAACATTAAATGGGTTAATATGTTATGGAATTTTCAGGAATGTTTGTTTTCTAGATGAGCGTGATAACTATAAGGTTTGAAAATTTCTTATTTTATTTTATGAAATTATCAAATCTTTGGTGGAATTTTATTTTTTAATATTTTGTAAAAATAATTTTATTTTTTATTTTTTAATATTTTATGAAACCGTCAAATCCTTGTTGTAACAATTTTTTTTTATGGAAGAAATGTATCTCCAATTCTTACGCTTTTTTAAAATTTTGTTATATTTGATAAAAAATATAATTTGGTTCAACCTTAATTTGGTAAAAACGTGAGCAACACAATCTATAAGATTTACCGCTATCTCACACTCCCACTATATTGATGCTATACAACCCACAACCTCACAATCCAAAAGATTTAGGGGTTGTTTGGAGTGTCTTAAATAAGTGAATTTTTTGTCTTTTTGGACTAAAAAATTGAGGTTGAAAATATGGATATTTGGGTTAACTTTTTGACTTTTTATGAAAAAATGTGTAATAAAAAATTGTAAAAATTGATTTGTAAGGCAAAATTCGAATTGGGAGTTGTGCAACCGTAATTGTTGACTTTTGGTGAATAGTGTTAACTTTTTGACTTTTTGAATAACTTTTTGACTTTTTTACAAGTTCCCAAACTTGGCCTTATACATCATGAGTTGCAATAGCTCTTTATGGTTGGTTTTGTGATTGATTTTTCTACATTTTGACCAAGAGAGATAAATGATGAAGATTTTTTACTTTCACAAAAAAATATAATTTTTCAAATTTTTTTTTTTGTACTCAGAGTACTAACTGATATGCTTTACTAATTTGTCATTTTTTTTTATTGCAAAATATTGGTGTACTTTATTTGTTATTTAATTATTTTTATATTTCAAAGCACTCACTAGTGTGCTTAATTTGTTGGTTGGCATTTTTTTTTATTTTTTTTATGTTGTAGAGTATTGGCAGGTGTCTTTCTCTGTGTTGCAGAACTTAGATTTTGGTTTTGGCTTAAACTCTTACACTTTGGTATACCAAAAATTTACCTAGCATTTAGGTATGTTCGATATTCATAATTTCATTTTTTTTAAAATGAAAATGTTAGTACTTTCGAATATTTGGTGTAAATGGAATGTTTAAAAGTAAATTACCTATTAAATTTGAAAATCTATGTTTAAATTAATTTATTTTGAATAATCATACACAATACCGAATAGCATTCAAATTTTTTTCCCCCCAAATATGTTTAGTTTTTACTTAGGTTATATTGGGAGTGCCTTTAGACACGGATTATCCCTAATATTCAGTAATAGTATGAATATTTATATCATAAAATAATATCCACATCATAACAATATTGTATGTTCATAACAATGTGAATGTTCATAAATATCTACGCTGTGAGATTAACATTCAATAAATAAAAAAAAAAATTTTAAAAAAAGTGTTCAAATAACATATATGAACATTCATTAATAAACTAACAGTTTGATCAATTCATACTAATGTGAATATTTACATTGTGAAATGAAAAGATGAAAACGTAACTGAAACAAGTAAAAATCAATTGTTCTGATTGTTCAATAACAAAAAAATGATTGTCCACCGTCTCTGGCGATTCCACCATTATCTTCATCGCTGATATACCATAGTTGACCTCGAGTTATTAGAGATAAACTCTCTTCCTTTCTTTCATTCCTATAGATGCGGGATATCTAAAACTGATTGTTCTAATCGTTCAATGGCAAAAAAATGATCCATCATTAGTCTATCATTGTCTCCGACCAGTCCACCATCGTCTCCATCACCAATCTATAACATATTTGATCTCTTTGAGTTATTAGAGATAAACCATCTTTCTCGCTCTCACTCCTACATGTACGATATACTCTCTCTCTCTCTCATACGGTATAATATATATTACAATGGGGTATTCATGTCCACAAAAAGTATTAAATATGAAATATGAGCTCTATTGGGTCAACTCTTCAAAAATCTAAGTAATAATTAGAATATAAGAATACACATTGGATCTATTGGATTACAAATTTATAAAATATGATTTTTCACCAAATTCCCCTCATATAAATTCCTTCAGTTTTCAATCGCATAACTAAAACTTCCTCAAATAAAATTAAATAATTTTTTTTATATTTCCTTTATTAGTCAACTATCAAATCAAATTGACATATATAGTGTAGATTGTATGACAATTGCACCATTTTTTCTCTCTACATCAACTAAAGTTTTGACTCACAATGTTAATCAAGTCAACTCGAATTAGGCTGAATTAATCAAGTCATCCTTCCAACACCTAATTTCATAACAACAATGTATCTACTAAATTTTTGACTTACTATTTTAATTAAGTCAATTCAAATTTAGCTCAATTAACAAATTCCATAATTTAGGTTATGTCATCCTTCAAACACCAAATTCCACCATGACAAAAATGCATCAACTAAAATTTTGACCCACTATTTTAATCAAGTCAACTCGAATTCGGCTCGATTAATTAATTCCATAATCTAGGTCATGCCATCTTTCCAACACCTAATTTCACCATAACAAAAATGCATCAACTAAAATTTTGACCCACTATTTTAATCAAGTCAACTCGAATTAGGCTCAATTAATTAATTCCATAATCTAAGTTATGCCATCTTTCCAACACCTAATTTCACCATGACAATAATGCATGCAGCTTTTGAACCTACTCCATTGTCGAAATCGCTTCGAGGACTACCATAGATGTGGAAAGAGCCATTGAAGATGAGAAGGGTAATTAAGTAATTTTACTTTAAGATAAGTGGGTACTAAGGTAAACGACTCATTTCTATCAACCTTTTAAGAGACATAGGAGTAATTTTAATTTTCAAAACTACATGAAAAATAATGAATTTATTAGAAACCTCAATAAGAAGTATCTGAAATTTCCTATTCAAACCTAGCCTCGTAAATCTCATGTAATCCACAATAAATCTCATATTATTACACGACCCAAGAATTAGTTAGAATCATTGTAGTTGTTTACCTGCAATGCAGAACCAGAAAATGATGGTACACATATAGTATGATGAAAAAAAATGAAAAGTATTAGTTGATATAAGATGCGTTAATTAAATCATGCTTGGGCAAAGGACTAGTCATATGTTTGAACAAAAATGTACTCTACACATACATTTTCACAAGTTTCAGACATCTCCAATGTTACATTGTCATTCACTGATTTGAAAAGAATTACTTTGTGTATAATTAAATACTCAAAATATCATCTGATACACAAACAAGAATATCGCAGTATTGCACAAAACACTTCCAATTCTCCCATACCCACAGCAACACCGATCCATTTGAAACAGTACACCAACAAAACTCATGGACCGAATATTCCTTCTGAACTCAATGATTTCTCATAAGGGCATATTGTTTTCGAAAATATGTTATATCATATGCATGGACTGAACTACCTCAACTTGGACAACTGCCTCCCTGATTCAGGTTGGCTGATGAATATGAATGGTTTCAATCTCTTGGTTTGAAGAAAATAGCCCACTGGGATTACTTTAGATTAGAGCACTCCAAACAGCTGCATCACCTTCACCGCACTTTTCATGAACAGATTTGATGTTCTCCACGGATTTGCAAATTCCACTACAGCTCCAATCAAATGATGCGATGCATACATTACCAGCCTGTGCCTTCCACTCACAATCTGCAATGTGACAGAAATATACATAGAAGTTGTTAAGAGATACCGCAAACCAAAAGGCATTCTATGTAATACATGAAATACCCAAAAATATCCTTATATACTGGACTGGTGTCTGCGTTTTTGTAGATGTTGGAAAATCTTTTGAATAACGTATTTTGAAAGTGATCAGTGATTTTGTAAGTCAAAACCAACTTAAGTATTTGGCTTGGATGGGACAGCATGGTAGGCCCAAAATTACACTGCCCAATCCCAGCCAAACATGTTAGTTTTGGCTTGGTTTTAACTCACAATTCATTTTTCTTTGGAAGTTCATAACACTATTTACTGGATAATTCTGGCTTCTTGTTCACAGCCATCTCATGGCGAACTTCAGGACAAAACAAATGCTAAACTCAGTCACGGGTCATGGTTTGTTTGTTTGCTATTTTGTTTTGGGTCCAAGCTTTTCAGGACACCATCCAGCTAAAAAAAAAAAAAGAGGCCCAATTAGTACACATTAATGTGTGTTTGAGAGGGAAAAGATTGAGTACACACCTAACCTTTCGCATAGTGCGCAAAATAGTTGTCCCCGTGACTTGAACCCACAACCTCAAGGTTATGTAGCTAAATATACTACCAAAAAAAAAATTGAAGAAAAAAAAAAAGAAAAATAAAGAAAAAAGGAAAAGGGTACCTGGTGGAGTTCTGCAGCACATATTGCGGTCATCAATGTGCTCTACTTCAAGACCAATAAACCATGAACCAAGTGACACGTCTTCATTAGCATACTTGTGCAATATGGGCCTGTAGAAAACATCTAACCTTTCGCATAGTGCGCAAAGTAGTTGTCCCCGTGACTTGAACCCATAACCTCAAGGTTATGTAGCTAAATATACTACCAAAAAAAAAATTTGAAGAAAAAAAAAAGAAAAATAAAGAAAAAAGGAAAAGGGTACCTGGTGGAGTTCTGCAGCACATATTGCGGTCATCAATGTGCTCTACTTCAAGACCAATAAACCATGAACCAAGTGACACGTCTTCATTAGCATACTTGTGCAATATGGGCCTGTAGATAATCAACAGGAGTTTTAACTTCGTAAGAAATAAAAAGATTATAATTATATTATGTAAAAAGATGACAAATTTAACCCATCATCTTATGCACTATCCAGTCTCCTAAGCAAATGTACTTGAGAAACATCAGCAATCAGTACTATGACAAATTTTGGTATATTAATTTTCAATTTTGTTCATTTGGGTTCTTTTATTATGTCATAATATTGCCACTTCATGCATTTAAGCATAAAAATTTAAAATATTCATCCCATTTCTCACCACCAAGATCACAATCTGAAATTGAAAGAACTGTTGCTCATGCAAGCACAAGATCCATAATGCTTGTCTCAGAATAATGTTAAAGGGAAATGGCCATGCAGGCCATGACCCTTCTGGTCAGCTAATCCAGGACATAATGAATGAGGTTTGACAGAAAATAAACTTGATCCTTACTGATTAATTGAGATGTATGTGGCCAGATCCTTTGAGATGGCATAAATCTGCCCAGTTGCATGTCTGAAGTATTTGTTCCCTTCCTCTCCAAATTTCCAGTACTCTGGTTCATGGTACTTAACATTCCTAGATAATAGTACAAAAGTGGTAAAAAGAAAAAATTATCACACTAAAGCCCGCTGGGGGGGGGGATTAAAAATGCAAAAGTAATCAATATGAAAGCTATATGATTACTTTTCAGAAAGAACAGGTCCAGATTTCATACAGCCAATGTACACTCTTGGCTTTGATCGATGACGGGCAAGAGTTGCAGCCAGCATGCCTACAGAAGAAGCCAAACATGAGATAAAGTTGACTTTCACAGTAGTGACAAAATTTTCACTAATGGGCTAGAGTGAAAAGGGAAAAAAGGAAGAAAGAACACAACAAGAAAAGAAAATGAAAAGACAGTGTATACCCAAATTGACATGGACATCATCATCCACTTTGACATAGAAATCAGCATCCCATTTTGCAACAGCAGTGGAGAAGAAAATTTTGGTTTTTGCAGACAATTCATGATACCCTTCAACATGCTCCTGCAAGATAACGTCACTCATGAGCACCAAGATTGAGAAAAAAATTTGCGAATTGTCCACAATATTTTTTGTACATATAAGCTCTGTGCATCCTTACCAGCCTGAGGAAGTCCTTATGCTGAGAATCTTCTGAATCAATAGCTCGATCTAGTATGCTGTTAGATGTTGCACTGCACCAATCGAAACAATTGGCATTCAGCATAATTCTACACAGGTGCCCTATATGATGCAAATATATTGTAGCAAGAGCAAAAGGTATTGTCTTCCATTTAATAATATTATCCTATTCGAATGGATCTGTGTTGGTTTGAGTTAGGACCTACTTTTTCTAAACCCCAAAATAAAAAGACCTCTATTTCTCAAATGAATGTTATTAGACTATTTGAAATCTAGAAAACAAATAATTTTTGGGTATTAATGGTTAGATTGAAAACCAATACGTAGGAGAAAGGGTTAAGGTTAATTTAAACTTTAAATTAATAGTTTGGTAGGGTTTTGGGGCTAAAATGTGCAATTTGAGGGCATTATGGGGTAATTCAGACAGAGGAGGAGAAGAAGGGGGGAAGAAGAGTCTCACCCTCGTCACAAGGTTTAGGGAAATTCATACAACCACAACCTCAAATCCTCATAACTCAACTCTCCACTAAAAAATGAAGATTATTTGCAAATCCATAGGATGCTACATTCTCCAAATTCTACAAAAAACAATGACTTCAAAATTTGGAAATTAAAAATTTTTAACCAACTAAAATATTTTATAACTAATAACGACTCTATAAAAAATCTAATAACATTATCTAAAGCATGGTAGTACGACAATAGTAGTCTATTATTCACACACTGAAGCTTTCATTGTCTAAAAAGAATATATTGGTCCCAATTGTGTCCTTTCCTCATAGCAGTTACTCAGAAAGTCACATGATCAATTATGTTCAATAATCAAAGTTTCTATAGGGCATGATCATGCATGAATTATTTCAATCAATGTATCACCCATTAAGCCACTCTAATATTTTTATAGAAGTACCCATGTTGATTCTAGTCTTTCCAATTTTTTATGCTCATTCAACCAAATATCCTCATAAATCCCTTTCACTCTTTTCCATTTTTTATTCTCTTTTGGCTACAACTCATTTCATTATATCTCATCTAACACCAATGTTTCTTGGCTTTCCAACATTTGCTCTATGGCATTTAGGTCATTCTGTCACTACTCAACATAAATTTTCTTGTGTTTTGGTAAGTATAAATTCTCTTAAATTTGCTGCTTTTGTCATTACTAAAACACTTAAGGTGAAAATCAAACTTTAACTATCCACCTAAAATCCTGGGGAATATCCTCCCTTAAGGTGCAAAATCAAACTTTAACTGTCCACCTCATACCTTTGAGAAAATCCTCTTCAACTACTGTCTTCTTACACATGATCATGCTAAGGCTCCTAAGACAATAGTTTACAGCATTTACATACCAGTTAAGAAACAGATGCGGAACACAATTAGAAGAGAGGAGACAATTTTAGAATTTTAAACGAGGCAACCCTTGGAACCTTGTTTGGTCAAGTATTTCTTAATTAATTTTCACGGACTATAATTTACAGCATCTACATACGACAAAATAATTGCTGCCTGTAAATTTTATTAGACTTTTAAGTTTCTACAACTTATAATTCTAAAAATCAAGTTAATTCCAACTCGTTTTGTCTACAAGAACCTCCAAACTTTCCCTAACCTCCTTAAATCCTAAAACTACAAGTTCACCTTATTCAAACCAACCACGATTTCAACCATATGGAGCAGCGATCAAAGTTTCCTTCCTAGTGCAGGTTTACATAAATTTGACATCAAAGTCCACAGGAGAGTGCTTCTTGTACTTGTCCACCAACACCAACATGAAATGCAGATCAATTAAGATTTAGTTCACCTAACCAATTGATTCATTGGCCAAATAGTTCTGCAATTCTTAGATATACCAACAAACATCTTCATGGTAATTTAGTTTATCTTTTTTTAGTCTCATCAAAGAACATCACAGCACATAAAAGTAAATTACCCTGCAGCATACTCATATTTTTCACTAGCCAAAACATGATGTGAAAGTGAGTGGTAAAGATTATTTGTGCTTGTGCTATGACTATGGTTGTAGACCACCAATGGAAATACAATAAACACAGAATAATCTAAAACTTGTTCATTCTCATAACTTTCTGGATATTCTATTTTAATTTTTAAAGGCAGTTCATGTGATAGTGATACAGTTTTTTACTTAACAATGTCTATTGTTACAAAAACCGGAGCGGCTTTTGACAAATCCATATCAAGGAATTCAAAAAATTAATAATGAGACCATATTGCCCAAAGAATTTCTATTGTTTTCAAATAATACTAAGCTAACCAGCTTGTAAGAAAATGCAAACAAGAGATTTACCTATGGCCGATCATGAACCGGATGATAATTCCCTTCTCTTGTTCCAATTGAAGAAGTCTCTCTCCTAATCAAACCAAAAAAGCTAGTCGGGGAAAGCCATGAAATTAAATATAGTAGGACATACACACAAAGACAATATCAAATTATCACCTTGAGGCATCCAAGTTTCTCTAACCGAATCACGCCTCTTCCTACTACTAAAAGCAGTATTAATTCCAATAACTATGAAAGCCTTCTTCCTTGGCAAGCCCTCCTCATGAGTCAATTCAGAGATGTGAGTGAACTCATCAGATCTCCTCATCTCCTGAGAACTTCGAGTAGCAGCCAGCTCCATCTGCAGCGTTGAAATCGACTTGTCTAGTGATCTGCCAGACCTCCAAAAAAACTGAATTATCAATACAAACTTCAATTGATCCAGTAAACACACACAAGAAAAAATACAAAGTATGATGAGTGAGTTTCAAACTCACTGAATTGCGTTATGGGTTTTGTAAACCTCCGCCATTACACCCTTATCTTGACCTGGTTTCTGGCAAATCGACGTTGAAAACCATTAACAATGCAAATATATATATATATATATATATGTGCTAGAAGCAAAGTGGTTGAAATTGAATGTAGAGGTTGAAACTTTGATGTATGAGAGAAACCTTCTTGTCAGTGGTGCAGTCCTCGGATATGATCTGCAACTGTTGGTCGCGTCGATGGCGTGATAGAAGCTGATTGTCGGATTCAGGGGGAACCCACAATCTGAAATCCACAACCACATCAGCTGCCAACCACTAATCATTCTCAATCTTACCAAAACAATCATTCCATACGTACATACATACATACATACATATACTACTCTATACATATATACATTTATTCACATACATACAAGACTTACACAGCATCAACCAAAGCAACAATCTTCACAACACTCACTGAACAAATAAGCAAATCCCTAGATTGCTATCACGAGACCAATCGAATTCAAAATTCAAAATTTAAAATTTGAAAATGTAGTAAGAAAATGAGAGAGAGAGAGAGAGAGAGAGAGACCTGTTTGTTAAGAGCATACCGAGGATGAAGAAGGAGAGGGAGAGAACAGGGATCCATTTAGCCGAGACTTTACCTCCGTTTCTGGTCTTCATTGTTTCTTGAGAGAGAGAGAGAGAGAGCGAGAGAGAGAGAAGGGGTGATGATGATGATGGTGCAGGTGAGAAGAAGAAATAATGGAGAAAAAGAGAGTTTTAAAATTGGGGGAAGAGAAGAGGCATGTGGTGTGGTGTAGGGAAGTAATTAATGAAGGATAAATTACATTTAATAATTTCATTTCAACAATCACAAATCTCTTAAGACACAATTTTTAATAAAAAAATAAAAAAATTATATTAAAAAATAAGTAAAATAAAATAAAATAACATAAAATAAAAAAAATATATGAATTTAATATTTTTATTCCGTCTAAATAATTACAATAACAAAAAATTAATATAATTTTTTAAATGTCAAGGGATGACATGTATTAAATCTAAATCTCAAGGGGTATAAGTGTAATTTACCTTCAATGAAAAGTAAAACGCGCGTTTGGTTTGGTTTGGTTTGGTTTTTTGGACCATCTCAAGACTATTACCATTAAGAGAGACTTAAATGTGGGGGGCCGTGGCTGGAATGTTTTGATGCTGGCGTTGGTCGTGGGTTGGCGGCCTCGGCTACATATTATAAAACTAGTTTTTGTTGACGACGTGTTTCGAGGGTTTTATTTTTAGTTTGTATTTTAAGATAAAATTTATAAAAAAAAAAAAAGCCACAGCTAGACCAGGGAGGTCACGTGCCCCCCTTGGATTTTGAAATTATTTATTTATTTTTTATTATTTTTTTGTGTGTGTGTAAATATAAAGAAAATATTTTAAACAAAAAAAATTATAAAATATTATTTAGAGTGGAATATCAATGGCATTTTTAAAATTATGAGAATTATAATGGTTATTTTTTTTATTGAAAATAAATATATTACGATAAGACATATTATTATTTATAAATTTTAATACAGTGGTAATGTCTATCATTTTTGACATACAAATATGCTTAATCGTAATGAAGATATTAAATTTATTGAATTGTTAGTTATATTTGACGTGTGAGGTTCATCCTCTATGTGTTTCTTTATTATTAATTAATGATATCATATATCAATGATGACGTGGTATTACTGTTATATTGAATTTTTACTAAAATTTTATATAAAAAATTACTTTATCATAATATAATTTATTTTAAAACTTATATCCATGACTTTTTTTTTTATATTGTCTATAATATATTAGTTACAAATAATATATATATATATATATTTATTTATCTTTTTTAAAGTCAATCGTAAAAATTTATGTAAAATATTTTTGTAAAAACTTTCAATGTTGTAATTAATAAATGCACCATCTGATTTAATTTCTTGGCTCCGTCACTAATTGAGCAGATATGTGTGAGAGAAAAAATAACTAAAAATGAGAGATGAGAGAAAAAAATAATTGATTGATGTGTAATAAAGAGAAGTAATTTTAAATTTTCTTTTAAAAAATTTATAACCACACATTTAAAAAAAAAAAAATTCCAAAACATGTTTCAAACCCCAAACCAAACACACCTTCGTGTCTCTGTTTTGTTTTTACAAATTGTAGTGTAGTGGTGTGCTCCACCCAACTAATGGCAAATGCCAGATGGTCATTTTCTTTTATTATTTTCAATGTATTTATCCGTTTATTATTGTTAACCAGAAATTTTACTATACACGTTTTACCATATGTATATTTTATATTATTATTTTTCTTTAATTATGACCAAATTTTTTCGTTAATTATGATCTTATTTTAATTATGACTTATGAGATATTTGATTATGCTTAATGTATTGTTTGGTTATAACTTTTTATTTATTTTATCTATAATTATTATTCAGAAAGTATAAAAGTTATGTTATTTTCTTCTTTAATATGTACCATAGTCTTTTCCTTGTCAACCATTGGCTTTCACTGCTGTTATGACCCAAACCCGCACATAATAGTTTGGCTCATAACCGGCCAATAATTACTTGATTACCTTCGATCTCATATAAACATATAAAATAATTATAATAATGGGTCATAAGCGGAAGCATATCACAAATGAAGAAGTTCATTGAGCTGTGTCAATATAATCAAAATTATACAGCTTACATCATAGCACATTCACACATTTACATGTTCATGCAAAAACTTATGTACCAAAGAAAATTTTATATATATAGTGTACATATCCCAAGACCATTATAGCAAAATCAAAACAAGAGTCACAACATGATGTAAGTCAGAAGCAAAAGCTCCATCTTAGAGGCTCGACCAAATAGGTTCACAAAATAACTCCTGAAATAGACTCTAAGGTTGGGCTCCATGTTATTGATCACCTATATATGCATACATAATATAAAATGAACGAAACTCAATGAGTAATAATACAGTAAAGAGATTTAAATGAATAAGCATAAGTTTTCCTCAATATTCATAATTACATTACGGAACGGCCTCGAATCCAACATAATACAGAACGGCCTCAGGCCCATCATATAACAGAACGGCCTTAGGCCCATTATATAAGCAGAACGGTCTCGGATCCAACATTTATCGGAACGGCCTCAGGCCCACATATTAATAGTTGTTCAGAACGACCTCAGGTCCAATCATATGATATTATATCATTAACAGAATGGCCTTGGACCCAAACATATCATAGTATAACAGAACGACCTTAGGTCCACATTGCATATGTCATATAACATTCATGAAACCCATTCATTTCGATCAAAACACAATATCGAAATAAATCATTGTTCATAGCTTAAAGTACTTAATTGAGAACAAATTTTTATAATACTATTATTCACAGTGCGTTTGGTCTTGCGGCGATTCCATTGGCACACGACCTACACAACATTTCACACACACATTCGATAAATAATTCATTTCATTTCATACACTTTTCTTTTATTTATTCGTTTTACAATTCTTTCATTTTCCATTCATCTTTAGGCATTGCAGAGGGTCAAAACATGTGCACACACAGATTCAAAGTGTCAAAGAAGTTAGCAAAAAAAGACAGGTTTTTTTGTTGTTTTCCGCATGTGCGAAAGGTGCAGCACCTAGGGGCCGCACGTGCAATTAAAACAGTGTGCGAGCCCCTGTTCTAACCTGTGTTCCGTACATGCAGAACTCCCAGCCGCACATGCGGTTCTGGGTAACTTAGCCTAATCCGAAAATGGCACAAAGTGTAATCTTCCATATTCATTTTCAAACCCAAATTCATGCAAAACTAACTAAAAAACATGATATACCAACATGATTCAAGTGTAATTACAACTCAAACACATCAATCTTGCTTCAATGAAAAAAATCAAGATCTCATCTTTTTCATACATTCATGAATTACATAATCAAGCTCAAAATACATTTAAACATGGATGATCTTTCAACAAATCTTTGTTGTATGAACAATTTAGAGCTTATTTCATGACTAATTCTCAAGATTGAACCCAAATCATACAAAGTTGAAGAGATTAAGGCTCCATTTCTTGAATTTAGTTCAAACAATTACCAATCTCAAAACCCTAACTCGTACAAGTGTTGAATCTTTAAATTCCTCTTGATTTCAAGCAAATGATAAGTCATTTACAAGGATTCTAAGTAGATTTTCATACCTTAGCTCAAATTTAGGGTTTGCCCCTTGAATCTCTTCTAAATCCCTAGCTTCTTCTTTTCCTTTCTCTCTAACTCACTCTCTAGCAAATGAGATGATCTAAAGATAGATATACATATATATACAATTTAGGCTAATTAACTTAATTAAATCATTACGAATCATAATTTTACAAAATTTCACAGTAGGCTCTAACAATCATGCTAAACATAGACATGAGTCGATTTTGGTTTCTGGCACCTTTAAGGCTTTCAATTTCAGTTCAAAATTGTAATTGCAACATTTATTTCTACATTCAACAGATATAACTCCAAAATCACATAGTTCATAGACTTAAGCATGCAAATTCATAGCAAACACATAATCACATGCATTAAGTGTCACGACCCAAACCCGGCCCTATGGGTTTAGCACCGTAACCGGCCAGTAATCCGAGATTACCGAAGGCCTGCTTAACAGTAATACAGTAAAACAGAGTACAGGGCCTAGCGGAAGCCAATACAGTAAATAAACAATGCCCAATGAGCTGTGACAGTCTGTATGCAAAAAGACTTTTTATACATATATAAGCAGTCAGTAACAAAACAGCATGTACAATATTTATAATCTTTCCGATCAGGGACCCAATCCCTGTTAACAGTACAGTACAGTACATTCTATTCAGTTCTCAAAACAGTACAGAAGGGGAGAATAAAAAGACCCCTAAGCCAAAGCATGGCAGGTTCGGAACCTCGCGGTGAGACACGTAGGTTGGCTTGACAAAACTGGAGTCTATCTCAATGCTTCTAGCCGCGGTCTGGTGCCTGTACACCTACATATATATATGAGCAGTGAGCTAAAGCCTAGTGAATAACATAATGCGTAAAGGGGTTAGGAATGAATGTCCTTATAGTAATAAAAACAGTTCATTGATTCGGTATTTCAGTCGTTCAGTCAGACAGTCATATGTGGTACATCCATTAGCATAACAGTACAGTAAACAGTAGGTCTTAAAAGACCGAACAGTAGTGATGGCCATCAGTCAGTAAACAGTAGTGGTTCCAACAAGGGAACTGACAGAGATCTCTGTAACAGTAACAGTAAATAGTAGGTGCCGAGGATGCCACAATACAGTTCAATATACAGGACATACATACATTCATTCAATTGATTCATTCAATTAACAATATTCAATTCAGAAACAGTACAGTTCAATTGTTCAGAAAATAATCATTTTTGAACATATCTTTACACAATCGTTACTCACAGAGTTTTGGGCTACAGTAAACTAGAGCGCGTCTCCCCAGTCGCCAATCCTACACAGTTAACAGATTGAACATACGCTAAGCTACACAGTTGGGAAAGATAATAACTTAACCCCTAATTTGCCTCGGTGTGTTCTACATCTACATCCTCAAAAAGATGTCTTAAACTAGGTCCAATAATGCCTAAGATGAGATGAAGATGCAAAGATGCACTTTAAAAGCATTTTCAGAATTTTCAGAAAGCAAGGGTCACGCTCGAGCGTAGGTTACTCCACTCGAGCGGATATACAGAC